GGGGGGGGGGGGTAGAGTGAGGAAAAAGAGAGTTGGAGGCCGTGGTGACAGTTGGACCGACAATGTACACCCCGTGCTTCACAGCAGGCTGGAAGCATGTGCGACGAGTTGCGCATCGATTAGTTTATAATGATAATAGACTTGCGCCACATCTACCGCACTCTCACAAGAAAACCAGAGGAAGCAGGTGGTTGGCACGATCAAAGCCTGCATCTAGACGTACCACCACGCTCCCTGGTCCACAGCAAACACTTGACTTGGAACTTAACACAATAACAACAAGAGGTTTTTAATTTATTGCCCATTAAGGCAGATTCTGTAGCATGCGTTCATTAAAACTCCTTCGGTAAGATCGCAGTTGGTAGCCAGACATTAAATGTTGGTACTGTCGACGTGCGTACTTGTTATCAGTAGGTGTGCTTAGCTTGTCTAGGGAACGTGTTATCAGTAGGTGTGCTCTTACTGAGTTAGGCAGGTCGCCCGTTTCGGTCAGGCTGTTGGGTTTAGTGAGGGTTAGGGCTAGGCGTAGGTTACGTTTTAGGATTAGGATTTGCGTTGTAGGGCCAGGTTCCAGTGCTAGGGTTAGGGTTGATGTTCCCGTTAGGCTTACGGTTAAGGCTAGCTTAAGAGCTAATGTTAGAGTTAGCCTTAAGGTTAGGGTCAAGGTAAGGGTTATGACTAGGTTTTGGGTTAGCGTTGGGTTTTAGGATTTTGCTTACGTTTCGGTTATGAGGCTTAGGGTTAGTCTTTGCGGTTGCGGTCAGGGTTGGATTTTAGGGTTAGGCGTTGGGTTTAAATTTCTGCCTTTATTCCACCTACTTAAAACTTCCCAGCACTTTCCCTGGTAACTTTACTTCTACACAGGAACTCCAGCATTCCTCTATCAGCCCTTCCATGTACCCCACCCATATAGCCCACTTTCCCACCATTCCCGTACGACAGGGACCTGGCTGTCCGCCTCCCAATTCCTGGTTACCAACTGCGATCTAACCAAACCTTCAAAATAAGATATAAAAGGCATTTACTGAAGTAGCGAGTGTTTGGGCATTCTTTTTTTCATGTAGATTGTCGGTTGGGTCACACTTTGGGGCACACCCAAGAATGAGAGCTCATTGTCGAATAAAATAAACGTCCACAGCCAAAGTCAACAAAGAATATGCTTTTCATCAAAGAATGCTTTAATGCTGCATTCAAATGAAGGATGTCGATGTACTTTGCATTTTTGCATGGTGAG